GCACTCCCGTTAGCTACTAGTACTAGCATTAGCCTCCGAACGACACAGTTTAATGTGTATCGCCCTAAATCACAGCAGCAGTCGTTTCGGAGGACTTTACAAAGTTGTGGATTCATCAGCAGATCAGAGAATCAAACTGTTTGAACTCATCAAGTGCTATAATAACAAACTCTTAGGACCCGTTGGTCCATAAGGAGCAGAGACCACTGTCTGAAGTCTCTAAGCCACAACCTTTTATATCAAAACCCTCCGTGATGTTTTGCCTAGTAGTTCCCAAAGTGCAAAATATAAATGTTTGTCCAAACAGAAAGTCTTGAAGAAGCAAAATGCATTGAACAAACCAGAACACAACATGTTGTCCTCATCTAATTCTATTCTATTCTAGCATGTATTCTGATTCAAGTATAAATAATAGTTTTTTACTGATATAGCTACACTTTTTTGAATAAAAAAGTAATATCATTTTGAATACGTAAAGGTACATTACTATAAAGTCATAGTAATGTACAAACTTTAGTATGTAAAGTTATAGTAATGTACCTTAAAGTATTCGACATTATATTACTTTTTTGGGAAGATTTTAACTCTGAAAAAGCTGTTTGAATTTTTAGTGACTGAAATGCAAAGACAAAAATATTCGCTTTACAAATTTCATTGTAAGAAAAATTTCAAAATTACATTATCGCTTTTAAATATCCAATATGTCTATTTTTGAGCCACAAATTCAAAGCACTGTCAAATTTTAAGAAAAAAGAGCAGATTTGTTACATCTGATTTTGAATTTTTAATGGACCTCATTATCAATTTCATATTTTTTAATTTCAAAATAAAACAGATTTGATGCATATAGTTTCAAGAGCTTAGATTAAACGGTCTAAATTAGCTGCTAAAAAATAACCAAATTCACATGACACATCCAGTGTTCTGACGAGTTGTGTGCTCTGTCAGTTTGCACATGCGCAAATGGACTTTTCTCTCTTCACTGAAGTTGAATACTCTCGTTGCTGTCTCTCCGTTACTATGGATACATTAGTTTAACATTGCTGTCTCTCCGTTACTATGGATACATTAGTTTAACATTGCTGTCTCTCCGTTACTATGGATACATTAGTTTAACATTGCTGTCTCTCCGTTACTATGGATATTTAGCCCATCTAAAATGTATCCAATTTTGTGTTTTTAATCATTTAAAATGTATGAATTTATGCAAATGCAATATGTAATGTAATCAGGTTATTCACTGCTAACTTATTTCAATGTGTAGTACTTGTAGCGTCCAGTTGAGTTTAAAGTTGAAGCCAGAACTGATGGTTAAAATGAAGTTTATTTTGTCCTTCCATATATTCATATAACCGACGTAAGAGCTAGAACAGAACTGAAAATCAACTTACAATCATGTCCAAATACTATCTAGCATCAAATACATTGTTAACCGTTACATTACTTTTGCTATTTAATTTTACACATTTAAAGAAACTTTACAATTGTTACACAAATAAAATCAATCCATACCTTGTTCCCTCTATCTCAACTGTAGCTAAACTTTGTCTTTGTCTTTTATGCCATATTAGTGCAGTTTCTTATGACCGTTTGTCTAGACCAGCTGTGTGAAACGTCCATACACTTTGTAACGTTTTTCTGTCTGATGTTGCGCGAGCCACTCGACTTCCGGTTGAGACAGGAAGTGTCAAAATAAAATGTTCCTACTGATGTTAATACAACAACCGTTACAGTACTTATTTTCACTAGTGACCATATTAATAAATGCACGTATTTATCAATTGAGGGGCTAGACTGCAAATGTAGGTCAACCACGCCCACCTGCGAACTAGTGAGTGTTGACGGGTGCGATCATGATGTTGTCACCCTGCGTGCCTTTACCGTGACTCTGAACCGTGGACAATAAACGTTGCAAACGGACTATTTTGTATTGTTCTGGTCATTTAAGAGTGCAACACGAATCTTGGTGTTTCTGCTCGGTTGGAGATCGCATGGGAACGACGCTGTTGTGGAAAAGAGCAGAGTTGGGAGTTTACGCTACAAGCCACCAGCTGCAGGCCAGAGCGCATCAGCGCACTCACTGAGACTGAAGCTGTTTACCTGTACGCTACGGTAAAAACATTTACAAATTATGTCTACTACAAGTCGGAAAATGTCAGAGAGTTGGGAGAATGCAATGGGACGGATTGAGGAAAATCTAATGACTTTGTCTGCTGCGGATTTATATGATCTTTGTACAATCTTGGGAGCATCTGTGAGTGAAGAGGACAAGACCTTACCTTGTGCAATGAGAAGGACTATCATACAGCATCTGGAAGGAGAAGATGTTGTCTCGCTCGAGGATGAAGGATTATCGTTGTTGCTCATAGTTACTGACCGCATTGATGAATTAAAGAGTGCACCCTCAGCTACTCCCGCTGCGCCAGCTCTCCCTCTGCTGGATACAGCAGGTACTGCATCACATACCCAAAGTGCACTGCTGCACCCACTAATCCAGGTGCCGTTTCCAATGTGACTATGCCTCCATTTAATGCCAACCCACCATTTGTGCACCAATTGTACAGAAAAGAACTAAAGATAATGGGACAGATTGGTGAACCACATCAAAAAGACAAACTTGGATATTCCAGTTTGGAGAGTCAAATCCAAAAAGCACTAAATAAAGGCTACAGTGAGTCGGACATTGTGGATGCTGTGATTCATGCCATTACACCAGGAATAAAATAAAAAAGTTATCTGGAAAGCAGAGTGGACTTACCTCTTAGTGCTTTAAGACAAATTCTAAGGACTCACTTTATCGAAAGGGACTCTACAGAACTGTATTACAATCTCACAACAGCAGCACAGGACTCCAGGGAGACACCACTTCAGTTTGTGCTCAGAGCAATGGACTTAAGACGGCAAATTTTATTTGCATCCGAAAGGGCGGAAAGTGGACTCAAATACAGCCCGGATTTAATCAAAGATCGATTCTTGCAAACTGTACTTACGGGGCTGATTGACGTCACCATAAGAACTGATTTAAAGCCATATCTACAAGATTCAAATGTGTCTGATGAAGTGCTGTTGGAGAAAGTTACAGATGCATACACACTGGAAATGGAATGAAAAAACCAATTAGCAACAAAGTCAAGAGCAGTGATAATTTCTGCAATGGGGGAGGACTTTACAATTAACAGGGAGAGCACAGCCCCAACATCCAACAATAACAAGCCCAGTGAACCCCCCAAACGTGAGACTTGACTGGAAAAAGTGGATCAAGGCAATAAAGCAATCTGTGAAGCTATACAACAACTGTCTACACAGCTCTCCAGCCTCCAGCAAGCCCAAAGACCCCCACCACCACACAGATCTAACCACCTGCCGGGCAGGAACTTCAGGCAACGCCAGAGACCCCCGGGAAGGTGTCATCATTGCCAGATCACCAATCCTCAAGGCGAGTGTAACCACTGTTATAAATGTGGCAGTTCTGATCACTGGGCTATTGGCTGTCGTAAAGTCACTCATGTTTCAGCCTTGTCTAATAAAATTGACACTTTGGTACATCTTGGTAAGACTGATGCCCAGTTCAGCCCCTCTCAGATTCATTTTATTAGCCATGTGCAGTATAAAAACTACATTGGAATGCATTTGCAAAAAAGGTACTCTGTGTGCACCGACAGACTAAAGAGCACGATACAATGTAATATAAAATACACATACACTGAATATAAAATAATAAAAAAAACAGCTGTCACTGTGGCACCGATCAACAAAAACGATACAAGGGGTAAAAGCAGGAATTAAAGTGCTCTGTTTAGCGAGATGTCTTGAATCTCAGCGACCGATATCTTCTGCCAGAGGGAAGAAGCTGGAACATGGCTTTCCCAGGGTGGCCAGAAGAGTCATTGATGATTTTAAGAGCTCTGTTTAAAAGTCTGGATTCATAAAGAACCTCCCAGAACAGGAAGCTTACAGCCCACAGTCCTCTTTGCAGAGCGAAGCACCTTGTTTAACGCTCTTTTCTTTATTTGTGATGTTACCGAACCACACAGTCACAGAACCAACAAGTAAACTCTCAATGGTGCAGCAATAAAAGTTAAGCAGAATCTTAGAGTTAGTGGTAAATTATCTAAGTTTCCGCAAAAAGAAGAGCCGCTGACGAGCTTAAATCACGGTGCACAACGGAGCTCTTGCAGAGCAAGAAGATGGGGAACTGGATCTATCAGCTGCAAATGGAACAGAGATTCCCTATGAAGGTTGGATTGAAGTAGAGTTTAAGTTGGCCAACCAAGCTGTCCCGGGAATGAGTGAGCAGTCTGTTCTCGTTCCTGTCCTTGTGACGTTGAGCACCCTATCATTGGTTTCAATACAATACAATTTATTCTTGTATAGCCCTAGGTCACAACAGAAGTCATCTCAGAGGACTTAACAAAACCATTGAAATCACCAACACAGGTCAGAGAATCAACAGTTAAAACACATGAAAAATATAAAGCACAGACAGAAGAAAATGTCCATACATGTTGTAGTAGTGTTAAAGAGGAGTTGGCTCTCACTAGTGTCACTGTAGGGAACAGTAATCCAGTGGGGCAAATGGTCCAAAGACTCTGTTCAGCATTTGAAGTTGGTTGTCTCACTGCTCATGCTGTTCTATCAGTGTTAAAGCGGGACACGCCCGAAAATAACCCCCACATTGCTCGCCTTAGCCGACGCCCTGTCACTATCCCCAAAAAGAGTATTATGAACATTTGTTGTGGACCAGTAAACTTGGGCGGTGCTCATTCTCTGCTGGAGCCCAACCCAGAATCTCCATGGCCAAGTGGGCTTAAGGTGAGAGAGCAGCTTGTCATGTTCCCTCAAGACAAGACACAAGTTACTGTGGCTGTGGAAAATACAACAAATGGAGACATTACAATGTGTGGCTGTACAACACTAGGCTGGCTGCATAGTGTTGAAAGTGTGTGCCCGTTGGAACCCAAGGAGGAAGAGGGCAGCACGGCATCAACAGCTCAGGGTACATGGGGCCACAAGGGGAGCTATGGGATCCACCTGTGGACCTGAGACATCTCTCTCCAGAACAGCAGCAAAAAGTCAAGCAGATGCTGAGAGAGGAGAGCCACGTGTTTGCCAAGGACGATTGGGACACTGGATGTATCAAAGAACTTCAAATGAACATTCAGTTAAAACACAACGTCCCAGTCCAAAGGTCTTATAACTCTATCGCACGTCATCTCTACCAGAAAGTAAAGTCTCACATTCAAGATCTGCTGAGTAAAGGATGGATTCAAAAGTCATGTTCACACTATTCGTCACCTATTGTATGTGTCCAAAAAAAAGATGGAACCCTCCGTCTATGTGTGGATTACAGACTGTTGAACCAAAAGACTTTGCCTGATCGCCACCCCATCCCCCGGATCCAGGAAATTTTGGAAAATATCGGGGGCAACTCATGGTTCACTGTACTGGATCAAGGCAAGGCATACCATCAGGGATTTGTGTGTGAGCAGAGCCGCCCATCTAGGAAATCCGCAAGACCGGACGGGATCAGTCCCAGGCTGCTGAGGACCTGTGCAGACCAGCTCTCTGAGGTCCTCAGCTACATCTACAACCTGAGCCTCAGCCTGGAGAAGGTCCCTGTCCTGTGGAAGACCTCTTGTGTGATCCCGGTTCCTAAAACCGCGCACGCCAAGGAACCGGCTCACTACAGACCAGTCGCACTGACCTCCCACCTGATGAAGACCATGAAGCGGCTCATCCTCAACCATCTCCGCTCTGTGGTCAGCCCCACACTGGACCCGCTGCAGTTCGCCTACATGCCCAATATCGGAGTAGAGGCCGCTGTCATCTACTTCCTGCAGTGGACGCTCTCCCACCTGGAGCCCGCCGGGAGCGCTGTGAGGGTCATGTTCTTCGACTTCTCCAGTGCTTTCAACACCATCAGGCCGGTACTGCTGCGGGGGAAGATGGAGGTCGCAGGAGTGGACAGTAGCCTCACTGCATGGACCATCGACTACCTCTCAGACCGACCACAGTACGTGCGGCTGTGGGTCTGAGGTGGTAGTCTGCAGCACTGGGGCCCCTCAGGGCACTGTCCTCTCAACGTTTCTCTTCACCATCTACACTTCAGACTTCACATACGACACACACAGCTGTCACCTGCAGAAGTTCTCCGCCATCGTGGGCTGTGTGTTTGAGGGGAACCAACTGGAATATCGGTCAGTTATCACAGACTTTGTCGACTGGTGTGAGCGCAACCACTTGTGCTTGAACACCAGTAAGACCAAGGAGATGATCATCGATTTCAGGAGAAAACCACTTTCCCACACGCTGCTGAACATCCAGGGGAAGACATAGCGAACTATCTGAATGACGTCACTAAGACACGCCCCCGCCGCCTGTCAACTCCCGCCCACATGTTTCGGACAAACACTGCCGAAATGAATCAAATACCTCTTGTCACTTTAGACGAAAATGAAATACCAGGGGCAAAATTCCACCATCAAACCATCAGGGATCATAGTGTAGACCAATTATAACGTTGGCTTGAATGTCGTGGTCTTCCAGTAGAAAGTTTGAGTTGATAAAAAGATAATGGTGAGGATTATGCTAACATTATCTAGTCATTTAAATTGCAATGCTAGCGCCTTCTTTGTTTGTTTTGCTGTGGTTAACTTCCATTTATCAAGTTTTTTTTTTTGCACTATCCACTTTGTAATTAGTTTGATCATTAGTTAGCTACAGTCAGCTGATATTATAATAGATCCATGGGGTCACAACGGGTTACGCCACTACTGTCTCTGCAGAGAGAAACTATCGGAGCTAGCCACACTCAGTAAACGCAAATGACAATCAATCGACACATTTAAATGTTAATGGGAGAATACATTATACATACATTCATAACACAAGTGCACGGAGGTTTTCAGAATTATCTGTTCAGGTTTTCATGACAAAAATACTTTTTTAATGCAACTAAAGCGATCGCTTTTTAAAAGTAGGTTAACTATCCTCACTGTTACTCGCCTGCCACGGGAAAACCTTTGGGAACTATTTTCTTTGCACTCATTAAATAAACCTTTCGGCATTAATAGTGAATGACGTTTATTTTGCGTGTTGAGTTGGTACAAAGCCGTATAATAAGCGGACCCCGACGCGCTTCGTCTGAACTTATTTTCAGATAGTCACAAAGTTGAAAAAAATCCCTCTCATCTTTCTTCAGGTGTGAGAATTGTATACTTTCTGGATTAGGACAAACAATACTAATATGGATTGATGGGGGTAAATGGTGTAAAGAGAAAGTTTGTGCTAACTACATTCAGAAGAGCTCAGACGGACCAGATACAGCGGTCCAGATCCAGTCCCAGCTAAACGTAGCTAGGACTGGATCTGGATACTCCACAGTTGGTCCAGCTTCACAGACGAAGTGTTTTGAAAAAACATGTGTCCTTTTTAACCTTTTCATGAAAGAAATTCTGCCGACCACAAGCACCCACCTCTTGCACTTGTCCTGGTCTGATCTGGTCCTGGTCTGGTCCTGGTCTGGTCCGATGTTGTGGTTTAACGAACGGGTTTGAATGTTACTTTGATAGTCCTTTTCAGAATATCTGAAATCGCTCCGACAAGCACCATAACTGCAGTGTTTTGTTGTCACCATGATTTTAATGATTTAGCCCAAGTAAATACACACGCGTATGTGGAGAACACAGTACTCAACGCGTCGTACACAATGTTTGTCCGAAACATGCGCGCATGCGCAGTCATCTGAGCTATTTTTAGCACATTTCGGAAACCGGACAGTGCCCTATTGAGCTGGTGGACAGCTTAAATTACCTGGGTGTTCACCAGTGGAGGCGGGTCCTGGCTCAAAAGTGGCTAAAATGATGTGCGCCGACATGCTGCAATACCATCCCGGGCCGGTGGGGGTGGGCCCGGAATAAGAATTAGCCAATGCTAACATAGCACTTGTGGCCATGTTGGATAGCTCCAGTAGAGCAATATTTTTGGCCCATTAGATTGAAAGGCGGAGATAGCCATGACTACGTCCATTATTTTTTACAGTCTATGGTGTTCACGTTAACAATAAACTGGACTGGTCCCATAACACCAACGCCCTGCACAAGAAGGGCCAAAGTCGCCTCTTCCTCCCAAGGAGGCTGAGGTCCTTCGGAGTGAGCAGGCCTCTGCTCAGGACTTTTTTTTTTGACTCTGTGGTAGCCTCTGCCATATACTACGCTGCTGTGTGCTGTGCCCTGGGCAGCACAGAGCAGGACAGGAGCAGACTGAACAAGTGGGTCAGGAGGGCCAGCTCCACTCTGGGCTGCTCCCTGGACTCTGTGGAGGAGGTGATGGACAGGAGGTGCTCGTCAAAGCCACCTCCATCATGAACAACACCTCCCACCCACTGCACAGAACTGTAGAGGAGCTGAGCTCCTTCAGTGGAAGACTGAGGCACCCTCAGTGTAAGAAGGAGCGCTACCGCAGGGCCTTTATCCCCACTGCTGTCAGACTGTACAACAAGTCACTTTAAGTCACTTGCACTAGGACTGAAAAACCTGCACTACTATTGACACTGTTTCATGATTCCCACTTTTTAATTGTACATAATATATTCTGCATTTAACATGTTTGCATATTTCTTTCTTTTTGCACAAATATTGAGTGTTTCTATCCATGCCAGATGTGACATGTACATTTCTCCTTTGTGAGATCAATAAAGTATATCTCATCTTATTTTAGGCTGAGGCAACATCAAATGATCAGATGCCTATAGCAGACAGTCAGTGTGATCCCTGGCGCTGCTTAGCTTGAGCTCTGTGATCTGGGGCTTGTAGTTAGTTACTTTGAGTTACAAACATGCCTCAGAGTGCTCCGTTGTGAACTGCGGGTGGGGCTTCTCGTCCTCAAAGTATGGATATTGTTTTTGCCCTTTTCATTCAGAAAGGCCTTGATAGCATCAAAGCAGCTGACAAATCGCTCCAGAACTTTTCCACAATTCGGCCATCTCACCTCTGACTGGAGTTCATTTCAAATTCTAAATCTGATAGAAGTAACTGTCAATCTTTTTTTTAAATTGACTTTCACAATGTCTTGAATTTTAGTTTTTATTGTAAAGGCAAATGTCATTTTAAAATTTTAATCACATCAAAATCTGCAAACTGATTGTCTTTTTTGTCTTAAAAAATAAATAAATCAAATCTGCCATATACTGTATAACCTTTATATAAAATGAGAAATAAGGTATTTGAGAGTTTCTGTATTTTGTTCAATCCCAATATGGTTGTGACTTAAATTTGTTGTATGGCTCTGTAGATGCAGTCTAAATGTGCTTGTAGTGTTATTGTGAAGACGATCTGAAATTATTTTCATGGACTCCCAGCTCAACACAACCATGAGAATTAAAACTGGTACAATTGACTCATCACCTCTCCCCTGGCTCCCTGTTCTATCAAACACTGCACCTCCACACATCCGGCAAACAGCAGCGACTCAAAGGATGCTCCAAAAGGTTGTAGACTCCCCCCACGACCAATCCACAAAGAAATCTCCAACCCTGCTCGGCTCCCATCCAGACGCCCCATCTGGAAGAACCCCCCCATCAGCTGACTTCACCGTCCAATCAGAGTGGAAAAGGGAGTGGGCGTCCAAGGAGGTCCCCAACAAACACCTGGTGCCAGACCCTTCCCAACAGGTCCCTGGCACCGACCTAACAAAGAGACAATAGTCCTCCATCAACAGGTTCAGGACATTGAGGCAACTGACTGCAGGACTTTGTATTCGCTAAATGAGTTTGACTCTCCTGATCTACTTTAATCAGGTTTACTTCAGTTCAAGTTTGGGTTGAAAACTTGTCTGGTTGTGTTTCGTCCTGGTGACTAATCATATAATATCTGTCTGCTTTTTTCTGTGTTTGCTGCAGATCTACAAAGTCCATCTACAGAATGGGGTTCACCTGTGATCAGTGTGGAAAGATCTGCGTCTCTGCTTCTGCTCTGAAGTCCCACTACCGAACTCACACTGGAGAAAAACCATACGAGTGTGATCTGTGTGGAACAGGTTTTACTGCAAAAGAACGTCTCAAGGTCCACAGCAGAATCCACACTGGAGAAAAGCCCTTCAGCTGTGACGTTTGTGATCAGAGTTTTTCTCACAGTGGTAATCTCAAAAAACATAAGAGGATCCACACTGGAGAAAAGCCCTTCAGCTGTGACGTTTGTGATCAGAGTTTTAGACAAAAGGTTACTCTCAAAATTCATCGGAGAATCCACACAGGAGAGGGACCTCACCAATGTGACCAGTGTGAGAAGACTTTTACACATTTATGTCACCTCACTGAGCACTACAGAATTCACACTGGAGAAAAGCCATTCGTCTGTGGAGACTGTGGGAAGGAGTTCACTAAGTTTTCAAACTACAAAAGACATGAGAAAATTCACACTGGAGAAAAACCATTTGCATGTGACCTCTGCAGTAAAACGTTTAGAACTGCAGCACGTCGCACAGTTCACCATAGGAGCCACACTGGAGAGAAGCTGTATGAGTGTGATCAGTGTGGAACATGTTTTTCCACAAGAGGACATCTCAAGACCCACTGCAGAATCCACACTGGAGAAAAGCCCTTCAGCTGTGACATTTGTGATCAGTGTTTTTCTCAGAGTAGTTCTCTCAAAGATCATCAGAGGATCCACACTGGAGAGAAACCATTTGTCTGTGAAAAGTGTGGAAAGTCTTTTAATCATAGGTCAAATCTTCGTCAACACAATAAAACCTGTAGAGAAGCAGGTGTGAAGACTCAGCATCTGGAACAAAGTGAAGGAGACAGAGCTGAGGCTGCATCATGTGAACCCAGAGTCAGACTCTACAGGATCACACTTCAGTCTTAACCCTGTGCTGCAGCTGCTGAGCTTTACAGACCAAACACTTATTGTGGATTTGAACATCTTTACTTTGTGTCTGGAGACTCGGATACATCATGTTTTGTCTGAAAGGAAAATCTTATGGTTCCACAGGCCTTTCCTCTACTTCCTTGTTTCCTCCAAGAGCCAACAGTCGTGTTGTTTATGACACGTCCCAATCATGTTGTTCATGTATGTTTATATTTGTGTTTGCTGTTTCAGATTCCTCACTTCTTCTTTTCTTTTTGAATGCTGGATAAAGTGTGTTTTCTTCTTGCAGCGTGTCTAAAGATTGAAAAGTGAAAATAATACAGTAAAATAAGTGAAGTGTAAACAATTATCATTAGAATAAAAGTATAGAGTAATAAAAGTGAAATTAGCTTCTAATTGAGACTCAGCTCGTTTTTGTCTGTGTTTTGACTGAATCTGCGGAGTTCTACTGTGTCCAATAGGGTTTGTTTT